TCTGTTTTCTATCTAATTTATTTCTGCTCTGATCTTTATTTCTTTTCTTTTGGTGACTGTGGGTTCCCTTTGTTGGTCTGTTTTAATTGTTGTAGATGCCATGTTAATGTTGTTAATTTTAGTTCTTTTTTCTTTTTGGATGTGTGCATTTATTGCAATAAATTGTCCTCTCAGCACAGCTTTCGCCGTGTCCCAAAGATTTTGGTATGTTGTGTTTTCATTCTTATTGATTTTGAGAAAATTTGAAAATTCACGTTTGATTTCTTCTACTACCCAGTTGCTTTTCAGCAGGGTGTTGTTCAGTTTCCATGTAGTTCCTTTTTAAAATGTGTTATAACTGCCCCCCAACATACTTTCCTTTATCTCCAGCTTAGAGAGAGTTTTAGTTCTAAGCCCAAAGCTCTCCTTTTGAGACCTCCTACTTCAGAAAGCTCAATCACTGATAGGACTGTGTGCATCCTCAGGTATATAGTGGGGAGAAGGTAAGGCCACTGCATGTCTGGCAAATTTGTGAGCCACATGCTGTGATGCTGAACCTGATAGTCTGCAGCTAGCTTGGTGGATCCCTCCGATCCAGGCTGCAAGAAAGCCTTCTCATGTGGAAGTCAAACCTCCTTGAGTGCATGTAGAAATGGCTCCCATGAAGACCGTGGTTAATAACCGTCATAATCGAATGACAGTCTGTAGTGCCATGCATTTATCCTTTTATTTTCACTATTGTGTTGAAATGCCAAGCTATTTTACTGTTGTAATTCCTGGAAGACAGCTTCTTTATTAATTCTAATTATTTAGGAAGAATTGGTGTTTAGAGAGAGAGAGATGAGGTAACACTACTCGCCGACTATGAGGCCATGTAGGAAGCCTAAGTTGAAAAAGTTTCCTCTAGAGAATGTATGGATGATCCAGTCTGTGGACTGCATTGTATGTCAGCAAGGGGAGTGCTGAGTTCTCTGTGGAATCGAAGACCCATCTGTTATGAAAGGAATGTTATTGTATAAAGCTGGAGGGAGTGTGTGCATCCCAGGCTCAACACTGCCCTCTCTGTATAGCCTGGTAGTTTCCCCTGATGCATTTGTCTGAGATTTTGGTGTGGCAGCAAGTGAGTTCTACCTGATTCATTAACTATAGCATACTGCTCTTCTGTTTTCAGTAAATATTCAAGATGTGATATTACAAGAAAATTTGGAAAAAGAAGACCAAATTCTGGTTTCTCTGGCAGGATTAAAACAGGTATGTACATTGACAAATCTGTTTCTGTCCCACAGACCATTCATTTGGTGCCTACTACATAAAGGCACCTAGGACATTGTTCTCCTGGCCCAGGTTCCCTGCCAGACTGACCCCCTCCTTTAGCTCTGTCACCATAAGTCTTCTGCTCTTTCTAGCAGTTGTGTCTGACTAGCTTGCAGCCCAGACTGGCTCTCCTGCTCCCTGTTTTTCTCCTCTGTATTTTAACCAAATCCATCGTGCTGGTTCTTCATCCAGGGCTGCTACAGCTTGGTCCGACTTCATGTTCACGTTTTCAGTCCATGCATATAGGAAGGCTCTGGAGCACACATCCTAGCTATACCTGAAGCTGGCCTCTGAGCCTTGCCCCCTCCCCCCGCCACCTTACCCACCTCTTAGAGAACTAAATGAGAATTGAATGTCAATGAAAAGTAAAATGCTGGGCACAAATGTCTGCCTCTGTTCATAACAGCTCTAAGTGGGGTAGGATTATTTCAGTGGGGTTGAGTGTACAAACACATGGTGTCTCCTGCCTTGTGAGGACCTGGCCCTGTGAGGACCTGGCCATTGGCCGTCAGAAATTGTCCTGGTCAGGGGTAAGTCAGTGTCTGATAGAGTTGGATTTCTTTTTGTTATTTAATTCTTACTGTAATATCCATACTGTTGAAAAAATTGGTCTATGGCAACCCTAATTTAAATATATTCAAGATTTAATTATTATTTAAAAACATATTCATCTTTTTCATTTTTTCCTTCCTCTTTGAAACTAGATCAAAGACATTCTAAAAGGTTCCCTGCGTTTCAACCAGAGCCAGCTGGAGGCCGAGGAGAATGAGCAGATCACCATCTCGGATGATCATTACTGTTCCAGTGGTCAGAGCCAGGGTGGCCAGACACCCGGGGCCCCCAAGCAGGTACAGAAGCTGTGAGGGGCACTGTTACATGAACTCAGTGGGGGTGTAGAGTACATGTTCACTTAAATTCTACTGCATTATGAGTACTCAAACCTTAGCAAAGTTATTTCAAAGTACCTACCATGTGTGAAGTTCAACTGTGAAACATTACAAGGGGCCTAACAAGCTGTACAGGTTGTTGTACACTCTAGTGCCCTAGGGGGTGCCATTCATGATGATGATGATGCTACTAGCCTTTTCTAGAGATGCACAGTGCACATCCTACACAGCTATAGGCAGCAGCTTTGGCTGGAACCTCCTAGCAGCCACTCATCTTCTGCAGGTTGGAAAGCGAAGTCTCTACCATAGTTATTGGTCAGTTGCATCCAGCTGATGCCTTCCAGTCCTTTGTATATAGGCTGTCTTCAGTGGACGAGGCTAAGTCAAAAAGCAATGTACCTAAGGTTCCAGTTCATACATGCTTGGGTTTGTTCAAAGCAAAACTTGTTTAACCCTGTCTCTGATCAGTGGATAGCTGCAGACAAGTTTTCTCTGTAGAATACATGTCTTAGTCTTGTTAGAAAGGTACCCTGATGGCACTCTGTAGGATAAACATTGGACTACCCATCACAAGATTAGTCGTTCAAACTCACCAGCTGCTCCATGGAACTCAAATGGGTACAATCTGCAAGTTTGGGTGTTCTTTGCTTGTGTAAAGATTCATAGCCTAGGAATCCTATCATGGTCACTATGAGTCAGAATCGACTCAATGCCAGTGAGGTAAGTCTCCAGTGAGGTAAGTCTCGTAAGTGTACCTTCAAAAATAAGGTTCAGTCGAAACAGTGGTTGCCAATGGGAACTTCTAGGCCAGTGTAATTCAAGGCAGACAGGTCAGTTCAACGGGTTATTGCCATTGACTCCCAAGGGGTCATCTTTTTTTTTTAAGTTTTTATTGTGAATTGAGTGATAGTTTACATGGGAGAACATCAGCTTTACATTCATCCTATTGTATTTCGTTTCATTGCAATGATTACTATCTCCTCCATGCATCATCATTTAATAGTATTTGCTTCCAGTCCCTCTATTTCTTTGTTTGTTTTCATGTACACCAAAGCCCCCCAGCCACCAGCACACAGCCCCTCTCCCTCCGTGACTCTAGAGTCACCATCTGTGGTGTCACTGCTTCTCTGGATGGGTTCTGCACTCTGCTCTTCTCACTTGATGGTCCCTGATAACAATTATTCACTATTGAACCACAAGAGTCTTATCTCCATCTCCTTTCATCCTTTCGCCAGCCCTGTCTCGACAGGTTAGAAACCACTAAGTGCAAATTCTACGTACCCCTGAACCCTCTAAAACTCAGCTCCTTTTTGAAAACTTGTAAGCCAGTCGCTTCGTGCCTTGGTAGTCTTCCCATTTTGAGTAGCCAGTGTCTAAGTTGCCTGTCAGCCCTGTGTGCACAGGAGGTGGGAATGATCCTTGCTATAAAGATTCATTCCCTCTTTTAAGCTACTACATCCATAAGTATAGGTCAAGTTCATCAAATTGTAGTGGATTACACTTTTTTTCCTCTTCTTTCTTCCTCTAGTCGAATTCTGATTATCCAGCCATTGAATAATGGCTAGGTCAAATGGGTACTATCTGAAAGTATGGGTATTCTTGTGCATCTTTTGGCCGTCAGCTCTTAGTTTCCCATGAATCTAGAGTCCTCAGCTGCTCCCGTTCTCCATGTCCCCATCTCTTGTGTTGCTGCTACTCTGGATAAGGTCTTGCATTCCACTGTGCTCTTCTCCCTTAATGATCCTAGGGTCTTCTGTTTCTGGACTGTAAGATTAACTACTCCTCCATTTTTGTTACAAAACTTCTACGTTTACAACTCTGACAGTTGTAATTAGTCACGAAACTATTTACTCACTATTGAATCATAAGAATCTTATTCCCATCTCTTTTCACCAGACCCATCTAGATAAGATGAAAACTATTCAGTGGGGACTCTATCTTCCCCCACACATTCTTAAACTAAACTCCTCTTGAAACATTGTAAGTTAGCCAGTATCTAAGTTGTTCATCCCTGTATATCCTATGTACAGAAGGGATAGTAGCATTGATACTTGATGTGAAGACTCCTCTCTGTTGGTATTTAGAGTTACTACCTCAATGAGTGTAGGTCAAGTTCATCAAATTGTAGCAATTTACCCTCGTTTCCTTTTATCAAAATTGTTTTATTTTATTTTATTTTTTTTCTCTTCCTCGAGTTGAGTTCTGGTTATCAAGCCATCTAAGTTAGGTCAAATGGGTACAATCTGCAAGTTTGGGTGTTCTTGTGCATCTCCTCTAACTTCATATCAGCTGGATGTTTCTCTCTCAGCTCTAGCCCTCTGTGGCTATGCTCTTGTCTATGGGCTCAGGTGTCCCCAAGTCTCACCACACTTAGGACCAACCATCTCTTCCTCATGTCTCTCTCATCTCCAGGTCAGCAGGAGTCTATGGAACGTGGTTGAACTCAGCTCATGTCTTCATTGCTGCCTCCCCCCTCTTCCAATCAGCAGTACACCAATGTGGTTGTCATGAGCTTATATGCCTGCTTATGTGTTCCCTTTGAGTTTCAGTCTTAGAGGGTGATTTGTCCTGAAGGAACTTGATTGCTTGCCTTGATGGCTTCCTGGCAAACAGCTTGCTTATTCTTGTAGTAGCCAGTCATACTGCCATTTGTTTTAGGTTTTTCCTGCTGATCTGTCTTTGAAGATATGTCTTCTGTCACTCTAGCTGTTCCAGACTGGTCTGCTTGTCCTTTCTAGTGGGAATGTCCCACCTCAGAAGGTTCTGGATGGGGTTCAGGATTCTACTTAGGGTCCTATACACCACAAAGGCTCCACAGGAGGCCTATTTCACTGGACAAGTTGTAGAACCCTTTTTAGGTATTCCAGTCAGTTATAGGCTGAAGACGGGCTTACAAGCTCTCTGTAATTCTGTTTGCCAACATTCTTTTCTGTCTCACTCAAGGGTCTATTTTACAATAGTAAGCAACGGAAACCGATATTAATAAGAGAGTCAAGCATGTTAGTATTATTTTCTCTCTTCAAACTATGCCTCCATCCCTGTATCACAGAGCCCAGTTGTTCCAAGGTTGAGCATGCATCACTGTTTACCTCTGTCCCGTTTAGACTATGCAAACCTCAGTGTTCCCCTATCAACTTTGTTCTTCCACCCCCTCCCACTTCTTGTATTGCCCTCCCCAGTAACCGAACGATAATGTGTCTGCCCCCTAACCTGTGCTTTACCATTGCCTCCCTCCCATACCCTTGTCCCCAACCCCATCAGTAACCAGCAAAGAATTTTTTTCCCCCTTTTAGTATGGGTATCTTTTCTTAAGATTTTACAATAATGGTCTT